TCTAATTTGTAGGCCATGGTGCCTACTCGCTTCAAAACTTTGAATGGCCCCTCGTATCTTCGCACAAGCCCTTTGTGATATGGGTTGCGCAAGATACCACTTAATTTGGCAAGGACTAGGTCACCAACCTCAAAGTTTACATCCCGACGCTTTCGATCTGCCCACTTCTTGGTTCACTTCCCGGCCTTGTGCAAACAAGCTCGGGCTAGTTCATGTTGTTCTTGCCACTCCTTGGCAAATTGGTATGCTGTTGGATTTGGCCCTTGGTACCCGATCACAACCGCATTTGGTGTAAGCGGCTGCTGCCCGATAACAATCTCAAATGGACTCTGATTGGTCGCTTCACTCCTCTGCAAATTGTAGGAAAACTGGGCTACATCCAACAATTTTGGCCAGTCACGTTGCGTGGCACTCACATAGTGCCTCAAGTAGGTCTCTACGAGTGCATTCACTCTCTCGGTTTGCCCATCCGTCTGTGGATGAACACTTGTCGAGAAGTTCAAGCTTGATCCCATCAACTTGAACAACTCCTTCCAGAACCTCCCAGTAAACCTTGTGTCTCGATCACTGATAATCGTCTTTGGAACACCCCAGTACTTCACCACGTACTTGAGAAAAAGACGAGCGGCCTCCTCGGCTGGACAAACTTTGGAAGCTGGAATAAAGGTCCCATACTTGGAAAATCTATCCACCACGACCATGATGCTAGAAAATCAATCGGAAACAGGCAAACCAACAATGAAATCCATGGAAAGACTTTCCCATGGTTTCTCGGGGATAGGCAGAGGCTGCAACAATCCAGCTGGTCTCCTTTGCTCTATCTTGTCTTGCTGGCACACAAGACAAGTTTTCGCATAGGCTTCGACATCATTGCCCATGTGCGGCCAATAATAGTGCTCCGCTATCAAGGCCAAAGTCCGGTGGATCCCCGGATATCCCGCCCACTTGGAATCATGGCATTCCCTCATGAGCTCCTTTCGCAATCCTTCAAATTGTGGCACATAGAGGCGGTGTCCTCGAACATACAACAAGCCTCCATCTAGCCAAAACTTTCTAGTCTTGCCCCCCTTGGCAAGCTCAATCAATGAAGGGGCTATCGGATCATGTGACAACCCCTCTTTGATGCGCTCCCGCATCTGTCCCGTCGGCAAACTCACAAACTCCATGTCACACCTTCGGCTTAAGGCATCGGCCACGGAATTCACTTTCCCAGGTTTGTGCTCCAAGGACAAGTCAAACTCGGCAAGGAACTCTTGCCAACGAGCCTGCTTCGGTGACAACTTCTTCTGGGTTAAGAAGTAACTGTTGGCAACATTGTCTGTAAACACCACGAACTTGGACCCAAGTAAGTAATGTCGCCATGTGCGTAAACAGTGCACAACTGCAGTCATCTCTTTCTCATGGACCGTGTATCTCTTCTCGGGTCTCATTGAGCTTCCGGCTTTCATAAGCAACCGGATGTCCCTCTTGCATCAGGACCCCACCAATGGCAACGTCGGATGCATCGGTGAAAACTTCAAAGGGCTTGGTGTGATTTGACAACACCAAAACTGGCTCGCTTATCATAGCAAGCTTGATTTCATCAAAGGCACTTTGACACTTTGGGCCCCAATACCACGCCTTGTCTTTCTTTAATAACTCGGTTAAGGGGGTTGCGATTTTTGAGTAACCTTTGACAAACCTCCGGTAATAGTTGGCCAACCCCAGGAATGATCTCAGCTCCGTCACCTTGGTTGGCACTTGCCATTCATCAATGGCTCGAACCTTGTCCCTATCCATCCAGATCTTGCCACCTCCAATAATGTGGCCAAGGAAAGGAACCTCCGTTTTGGCAAATGAGCACTTTTCCTCTTTGACAAAGAGCTCATTCTCTCGCAACACCAGAAACACTTGCTTTAAGTGTTCAACATGCTCCTCCAACGTCTTGTTGTAGATGACGATGTCGTCGAGGTAGACAACAACGAATCGATCCAGAAAAGGTTGCAACACCCTGTTCATCAGGGTGCAGAAAGTGGCTGGAGCATTCGTGAGGCCAAAGGGCATCACAAGGTATTCATACGAACCGTACCTAGTCACGCAGGCTGTCTTCGGTTCATCTCCTTCGGCTATCCTGACTTGGTAATAGCCCAATCACAAATCCAACTTGGTGAACCACCTTGCACCACCAAGCTGATCGAACAAGTACGCAATGAGAGGAATCGGGTACTTGTTCTTTACCGTGAGCTTATTCAAAGCCCGATAATCGATGTACATCCGTAAAGAACCATCGTGCTTCTTTTGAAATAGCACTGGGGTACCATAGGGGGGACTTGGATTGTCGGATGTACCCGGCATCGAGGAGATCCTTCAACTATCTGCGCATCTTCTCCAACTCGGGCGGAGCCATTCGGTAAGGAGCTCGAGCGAGTGGCTCCACATTCGGCACAAGCTCAATCTTGTGATCCACCTCCCTCTTTGGAGGCAACTTCTTAGGCAACTCGGCATGCATCACATATTGGAATTCTGCCAACACGTGGCTCACCACGTCAGGAACTTTCTTGGTTGTGGCTGGCTCCTCACACACCAAGACAGCTAAGAAGGATGGTTCCTCCTTGCGCACCGCCTTCGAGAATTAAATTGCGGATAGAACTTTGGCCCCTACTCCGGGCCCTCGGCTCACTGGAACAATGCACTGTTGCTTTGGATCCAGGATGCACAAACAATCGGCAAAAGGTACTGGAAAGCATTGATCCGGTCCAAGAAACTTAACCCAAGCACGAAGTCGAAGTCATCAAGAGGAATCACCTTGATGGCTTCCGTTCCGGACCAACCTCCAACAGTTAACTCAATTCCCTTTGCGAACCCCGCAATCGGAACCTCTTTGGCGTTGACGGTCTTGATAGAACCACATGACTTCTCGACATGAAGACCAAGTCTCTTGGCAACTGGTTCTGACATGAACAACTCTGAGGCACCGGTGTCCACTAGTGCACTCAATTTCTGGCCAGCAATGATGATGTCAACGAACATCAACCCTTTCTTCTTTCGACCCTTCTTGACCTCCATGGTGCTAAGGATGGATCCAAGCTTTAGAGTCTCACTCTCCTCCCCATCTTTCTCCTTGATGGCCGAGAGTTTATTCTTCTGCGGACAGTCCCTCGCCAAATGCCCTTGGCCCTTGCAGTTGTAACACTGGATAATTTGCTTGTCTTTCTTATCCGAGTGCTTACCATTCGATGGCTTGCCATTGCCACTCGAATCTTTGTCAGATTTGGACGCCTTGTCCCTATCACCACCATTACCTCGGAACTTCGGCTTTGGTTTGGAGTCCACCTTCTTGACGCCAAGCTCAATGATTGACTCGGTCGTCGTCAAGGCAACTAAGAGCTCCTTAACTCCTCGTCGCCTTAGCTCATTCTTCGCCCATGGTTTCAACCCATCCATGAAGGTGAAGAACCCGTCCTCTTCACTCAAATTTGGGACTTGGAGCATTAGTTCGACAAACTTTCGAACATGCTCCCTCAGTGACCCTTCTTGCTTGAGACGCCTCAACTTGGATCGCGCCTCATCCTCAGCGTACTCTGGGTAGAACTGTTCCTTGAACTCAGCTTGGAATTCTACCCAGGTCTCGATGGCAGCGTTCCCACGCTTCACATCGTTGCATCTGCGTCGCCACCACATGAGGGCAACCTCTGACAAGTAAACACTAGCGATGCTTACTTTCTTGGCATCCTCTGTGATGCCCGTGGCTGCAAAGTACTGGTCCAACCCCCAAAGGAAATTCTCAACATCCTGGGCGGACCTGGTTCCTTTGAACTTCTCCGGCTTAGGGATGTCACCCAAGGCTTTGGGTGCAACCGTGGCTACGCTATTCCCGAACGCAGCTTTGCACACCAAACAACTCGGTCTTGAGCAACTCGACCTCCCTCTTTAGCTCGACCACCTCAGAATCAGAACCCTTACTCTTGAGTTCCTCAACTTCCTTCCTTAAAGCCACTACCATGGCTTCTAAGGAATCACCTCGATCAGTTGCCTTCACATCCAACTCGTTGAGTGAATCCTGAACCTCCTCGCTGATACTCTCCAAGGACTCCAGCTTATCGAGATCCAACGATCCCAGCCTTTCAAGGTCTACGGACTCTAGCGCATCCAGCACTACCTTGGCTTCCGTCATGGAACCCTCGAGCCTGGTAACCTTCTCCTGGATGGACGTGAGAACATCTTAAGAGGGTGCTCTCTTCTTTCCAGCATTGCGGGTTTCATTCCCATCAGAACCCGTCGCTTCATCATGTTGTGGTGCCATCTTGAACCAACGGAAAAAAAAATAGGCTCTGATACCACTTGTCACGGGGCTAGACTGCTGCTAGCAAGCTCGTGCGGCCTTAGTCGTTTTCGAGGTTGAAACTCGGCTAAGTAACCTAAACCTTCACTAAGCGAGAATGCTTAGAACGTTGCAAAAACAAAGGAAATGGGAAAAATAGAGAGATGGGTGCTCAAATGGAGAAGAGAGAGTTTAGAGTGAATGCTAACTTGTATTCCTCAATCTGAAGTGAGTAAATGAGGTGGGGATGAGCCTCCTTTTATAGTTGGAGCCCCCTACAATCAACGGTTAAGATTAAATTACATCAACGGTCAGAAAAGAGAGCCCTACTCTATCTATAACTCTAAATTAAATAATAATTAGTGGGAATTATCTCTAAGATAATTTCAAATAATTATCATGCCTCTTCTCTCTCCAAGGTGGATGGGCCAGCTCTGTTGGGTCTTCTAGAAGGCCCAAAACGTGGCAAAGGTAGTCTCTGGCAGCCTTGAACGAACTGGGCTCGGTCTTGGGCTGGCGGTCTGTGACACTATGATCATTTATTCAAATGTCTAACCCATTGACGTCCTTTATATGTTCACCCAAGGGATTTGGCTAAAGACCTCTCCATAAAATAAAAAGAAGTATTCAATTAACATGGCAAACATATAGTAGCCCTACAAGCAACAAAAAGTTAATTACCGTTGTTCGACGATGTCTTCCGTTCCGGCTGCAATACTCGAGTGCGATATTCGCCTAATGCCCAAATAGGGAAAATGTCGCGATACGCGGAGTAACTGATCATGCAATTCCGGTTGAACACTCCCATGATTTCCTGCATGTAAAAGAGGGTACGAAATCAATCAAAGAACATGTTTCGTACACACCGAGGAGTCGAAAGATTTACCTGTTGTGGGAAATCCCGTTCTCCATTTGAGAATTTATCAAATATCTAGCTCCTTTGTGCAGTGGCGTCGAATCTCTCTCAGCCTGTTAAACAAGTTCAGAATAGACACAATGAGACTGAGAAGATACTTACAAACTTCTAAATCGACAAATGTGCATCTACGGAAGCTTCGGTATCACTCAAGCTGAAACATTTTCCAGACTAACACATGCAGCAGGCACATATATATTATTTATTAAATATTAATAAATATTTAATAATTACTATTTTGATTAAATGATATTAAATATTTTATTAATATTAAATTCATAAAAAAATTATTTTGAGTATTTATTCTTTGAAGTGAAAAGTTCGGAAAATGACTTACGAAAAATTAGACCGTAAGTCATTTTCAAGAAAACACAAAAAAATTCTGTTGACCAGGAAATATTTTACGTTGACCAATTAATTTTCTTCTAACCAACACTGGAAAATGAGAAAAATATTTTATAAAAAATATTTTACGTGAAACAAACGTAACATGGGATTGAAATATATGGATGATAGCCCACTGAAAATCATATTTTTAAACCATGTTAATGTTAAAAACTTAAAAAAAAATTAACTCGTTTAAATTAAATATAATTAATTTAAATTATTCCATCGCGAACAGAAGTGTTACTTATTGGGAATCTTTCAGTCAATGGCATCTGACTGATTATTGTCGCCGCGGAAACCACAGTGGCTGTTACCGCCATAAAACCAAACCACGGTGACATTACCGCCATAAAGACCACCGTGAAAGCGATTGAAACAAAGAGGAAATGAAGAAAACGAGGGCTTGGATTAGTAACTATTGGAAACTGAGACAGAATTATTTTGTGTATATTTTATTAGTTCTTTTTTTATCCCAAAATTCACAATTTCCTGGCTTAGTCAAGATATTGTGTTTGCATCGAAAGGAAGGGCCGCACTCCGATTTGTTTGTTTTATTATTGGTTAAAGCGCGCTGGAGGTCCATAACTAGGATCAAATGATCGGTTTTGCTATTAAATTGTTAAACATTACAAACTGATTATTTATTTTATCAAATTATTATAAATGGCCATTGTGACAGACATGAGTATATGACTCGACCTGACCCTAGGGTCATTTTTTAGGAAAAAATGGACTTGGGTAAGGTTTTTTAAGGACAAGGCCGAGTCGGGTTTAAGGTGAAAAATCCCAACCTAATGTTTTTACACACACAAAAGAAAGATCGAGTTTTGGGTTAGGTGAAACCTTCCTAAGCTCGAGTCAAGTCAGAAAGGTGGAGCATAAAATATACAAGTCGATAAAATACGACTTGTCCTGACCCATGCCCATCCCTACTGTGACGTTTTTATGATCATAAAATTTAATAAATTTATTGACCATTTTATAACAATTTGATAAATTTATAACCATTTTTGTAAAAGTTCGATAAATTTAATAACTATTTGTAATACCATGGTGATCATTTTATAATATTTGATAATTCAATGATTATTTTATAAATTTAAAGTTTAGTAACCAAAAAATCATTCAAGAATAGTTTAGGGACCACTTGTGTACTTTTTCCTTTATTATTTACAACAACAAATGAGGACACAAAATCTGTAATTTTCAGAATATTCGTAAATCACACAAGCAAGCGTTTAAATCAATGCAAAACCTTGCTTATTGTTGGCTGTCACCCTTAGCTTTTTCAAGTTTTGGGTCATTAACAATATATCTTTTTAGAAAATTAGTGATAAGATGGCAACTCGAGGCCAAACCCAACTGCTCTTCTCCACCATTAATCCTCGTCGAAACCAATGAAACATTCTTCACAGGTCAGGCAAGATCATGAAATTCTGCTTCTGTGAAATTCAAAATCGCAAAAAGCAAATGACCCATTGTTTATTTTTGGATTTTGATTTGGAAAAATGACAGGTACTAGTAGAATTGAACTTAGTTCTTGTTTCTTTTTCCCGCCATGATCAGCTTGATGAACAGTCAAATAACTGGGGTTTCGGTGTATGATGAAGACTTCTTCCTTATTCTTTTTCCTTGGAGGGGTTGTTGTGCTGATTATACTGTTGATTATCGGGTTAATCAATTGGAAAATTTGACGACCAAGGGGGACCAAGAGTTTTGCATCGGAGAGTAAAAGGCATGCAGGTAACGTGTTTGATGAATTATTTCATTGGGAGTTATTGGTTTGTGAAGTTGATTTATGTGTCATTTGCAGCATCGCCGGATTTCTTTAGCGGCGATCTTCGAAGTGTTTTCTATTTTGACGTCCGGACATTGAAGGGCAACCAAGAATTTTCACCCTGATAATCTCCTTGGCAAAGGTGGATTTGGACCTGTTACAAAGTAAGCAAACTTTGATATATTCCCAGTTTTCATTCTTTCGAAAATATTCGTGTTTAATATTTACATCTAACATATACATTAGAGCGTGGATGTGAGATTTGATCCTCTAAATACATGAAATAGTTTTGGTTGAGTTTTTGGTTTATTCATTTGAGAAGTATACTTTTTTTTTTTAATTTTTAAATTTGATCTAATCGAGTTTAGGGAGGGTCTGTTCGACTGAAATTCGATCCGAATTTTGAAATAAAAATCCACAAATGTCCCAACCTAACACAAATATTAAAAAATGAATTTTATTTGGCAAATTAGGGATTTAATTGGAAAAAATATAGAGAGATGAGAGAGGGATATTATATCAATTATTCTTAAATATATAGAAAAAATTATACTATTATCTCATGTCTGGTCGGATCAAAGATTTTTCATTCTAAACACGAACTCCACCGTGACATAAACTTATTTTTTTCCTAAAAAATAAATTTTATAAGATCGAATTGAAATCAATCAAATTATCATCTCTAATGACAAATCTTTGAATTTAGTACAGATTAATGCATTATATATGATTCTCCAAATATATGAAAAGCTTAGAAATAATTAAGCATACCTATATCTAGCATATGGATATAGTGCATTACATACAGTGATGGATTGGATCTTGATAAAAAAAACTGAGGACGTACTTAATGTTTTTACAAATTTTAGAAATATAAATTATATTTTTTACAAATTTTTAGACTTGATGGGATTTAAAAAATTTAAAAGGGGATTTAATTAAAAATATTTAAACAAAATTAAAATCTAATGAGAATTTTAAAAGGCCAAATGTTAATTTTTTAAAATTTGGGGTAGGGCCACTTTGGGGCCCATTCATTATCGTCCGTCTTGGTTGCATATGCAGAGACAGCGATAGGGGCTGGCAGGAACTCTGGTCCCAAAATGTTTAAATTATTCTTTAGTCCCATAAGAAATCGTAATGTTCTAAATTAGTACAATAGTAAAATTATACATTAGCCCAAAAATCATAATTTTATGTTTTACTCTCTTCAGAAATCGATGGTTAATGTAAGTTATATTATATCTTTGGTTAAAGTACACCAAAATGATCCACTGGTCAACAAGCTTTCAAATGTAATCATCAAACTTCACAAACGGTTCATTAAACTTATCAAATTATTACAAAATGGTCATTAAACTTACCGAACCATGTCTCGGGATGCATTTGGAACTGATATTAAAACAATAAGGATTTTCCATTTTTCTTCTTTTGGTTATTAATAGGGAAAGCTAAGAGATGGAAGAATGGTTGCTGTGAAAAGACTGTCCCATGAGAGATCCCAACAAGGAGAGTCGGAGTTTCTTTCGGAGGTGAGGTTGATCACAAGCATCCAACACAAAAACTTGGTTCGCCTTCTGGGATGCTCCGATGGGTCTCAACGTCTACTTATCTATGAGTTTATGAAGAATGGCAACTTGGACCACATGGTATATGGTATATATAACTCACCCCAATTTTCTCCTACAACTCATACATACATACATATATATATATATATATATATATATATAAAGTATGTGCATATAAACATGGATCAATGATTCATTTTACTCGTACTAGATGAAGGAACAAGCAGCCCTTTTCGAAAGATAGAATGTTATATAGTTAGGGACGTCAAAAAAATCCAGACCCAACGGATTTGATCCGATCTAATAAGATCAAACTTTTTTTATATAAAATTTGGATTTCGGGTTGAATCAGGTTAAAGTTTAAGAAAACCCCATACTACTCTAGGATAATTATGAAAAAAAAACACTTCTTTATGTATTAATATATTAATAGTTAGGTTTTGATACAACTATATGTAAAAAATTATCATGGGTTCGAGGCAAATGTAAATATTTTAAACTCGGATTGAGTTGAGATCATGGTTGAGTTTTGTTGTTATAATGTCAAGTCGGATTCGGGTCGGTCGAAGACCAGCCCCACGTCATTGCCATCCCTATACATGGTCTAGCGAATTCAAACTTAGACCTATTACATATTTACATGCCACCTCTCAAAAACAATTATACGAATATGTACGGATTCGAAAGTTCCGCATGCCATTCTTTTTTTAAATAAGGGGAGGGAGGTAGTAGTTATCTAAAGATCAAACTCGAGATTAACGTCGACTGAAGACCTGATATTTATCTTGCAACCAAAACCTTGTAATAAACTTTGAAATATGTGGGTTCGAGGCAAATGTAAATATTTTAAACTCGGATTGAGTTGAGATCATGGTTGAGTTTTGTTGTTATAATGTCAAGTCGGATTCGGGTCGGTCGAAGACCACCCCACGTCATTGCCATCCCTATACATGTCTAGCGAATTCAAACTTAGACCTATTACATATTTACATGCCACCTCTCAAAAACAATTATACGAATATGTACGGATTCGAAGTTCCGCATGCCATCTTTTTTAAATAAGGGGAGGGAGGTAGTAGTTATCTAAGATCAACTCGAGATTAACGTCGACTGAAGACCTGATATTATCTTGCAACCAAAACCTTGTAATAAACTTTGAAATATGTTTGTGTTGTGAATTGATGCAGGAACGAATGAATATTCTTGAACTGGGAGGCTAGGTTTCGGATAATCTTGGGTGTAGCACGAGGGCTTCAGTACCTACACGAAGACTCACATCTGAGGATTGTTCATAGGGATATCAAAGCAAGCAACATTCTTCTCGATGACAAGTTCCAACCCAGATCGGTGATTTTGGGCTGGCTAGGTTCTTTCCTGAAGATGAAGCTTATCTTAGCACCACTTGCTGGCACTTTGTAAGCCCCTCTCTTCCCCTACAATTTTTTTTAAATAAAATTTGAATGACGAAGTATGACTCGTCAACTCGATTCAACTAGATTAACTCGAATACTCACCCCTAATTCCTTCTACCTCTAACTAAGAATGAATGAACAAGTCATGATCAGGTAGTGCATGTAAATGTATTGATGAAGATGATGAGATTATTTGTTTTGTCTGTTTGATTTTGTTAAAGGGGTTATACGGCTCCAGAGTATGCCATTAGAGGAGTTGTCTGAAAAAGCTGACATTTATAGCTTTGGAGTTCTTGTGCTTGAAATCGTTAGCTGCAGGATGAATACTGATCTTACCCTGCCCTCCGAAATGCAGTATCTACCTGAATATTAAGCAATTCTAATTTTGATTACTTTTAATATTTCTTTATAATTAGAGATTAAATTGCAAATATAAGACACTACATCCCTTAAACAATATTCAGAGTTTCGATATAACTTCAGAGAACTTTTTTTCTCCTACCCGAGAATCTCCTTTGTTCTCCACGAACTGTCATGGCAATCGAGTCTCTCACCATCAACTATTAACTTTTCATCCAAATCAGAAGAAAAACCATCATATATCCATACTATCATCTCTCTCGTTTAACACCAATAACTATCAACTGAAATATTTTTGGAGTGAATCAGGCACATACAGAGTCCCACTTTGGTCATTGTCCTGGCATTTTTTCAGTTAACATGGACGATACTGTAGGAGGATCGTGGGTTTGCATTCGTTGACAATCTTAGTAGGAGAGTGCATAGGAGGGTATTGTGGGATCGGTTTAGCCGTTTTGGTAAGGTGATTAAAGTTTTATTCCGTTTTTTAATAGCAGACCCAACTACAAGAACAAGACGTTTGCCTTTGTGCATTTTGCGAGTAAGGAGGATTTGATTACTGCTAAGGAGAAGATGAACAACGTCCTTGTTGATGGGAGGAGAATATTAGTGTCATATGCGAAATATCAGAGTAGTGGTCCGAGGAACTTGAATCGCAATAGTAGTAGAGGCTGGAGGTGTAGGTGTCGAGGTTTCGAAAAGGCAAATGCATCTAGCCAAGTGGTTGGGGCTAGGAAGAAGGAGATGATGAACAGGTTCTAGGATGGCAGAACATATAAGGATACGGTAGTAGGTTTGAAAAAAGATGAGGGTCAGCAATCCAGAAACCTTGGGACAGGAGAGAGGAGAAGAAGACATGGATTTCTTCTTCCCTTTGGAGGAAAGATCATGGCTGAGGACTTCATTAACAGGTATCGTTTATTGATGAAGGAACGTTTATTGATTGAATCTGATAGTAAGCTTGCATAGAGTGGGTCAGAATTTTGAGCTCTGTCCCGGTGTATACTCTAATTTAGTAAAAGATATTGTTACTAAGTTAAGGGAGTTGAATGGTATTATTAGATGGGTTGCTAGGTCAGCCAATGTTGAGGCTGATAGTTTAGCCAAAGCTGGTATTGGCTAGTTTTACATTTGTGATTTGCTTTTGTAGTCTTTGGGTTGGATTATGTACAGGGAGTGTTTATGTGTTGTTGTTAAACATTATGTATATGTTTTTAATGAATCCTAAGGCACTCTTTTCCTCCTTCCGCTGATTGAGAAACACTTAGTGTTCCATTAATCATGAAGGGGGTTTTTAACGAGGCCTACATTCCTATCAAAAAAAAAAAAAACAGGTATCGTTAAAGTGATATTTGAGGTTGAGTTTGTGCAAAGGGCATTGAGAACAGAGGGAATCAATGTTAAGGTAGTTAGATGGGGTTATGCGAAAATGCATGTTTGGTAGTTTCCGGTCTGTGGGAGAAAGAAGCAGCTATAGAAGATAAGTGGGAAGCTTTGTCCTTTTGGTTTGAAAGGTTGGAGCCTGTCTTCCCCTGAGCTTGAGAAGGGGAAGATGATGAAAGGGTTGATGAAGATGGTTCTCAAGGAGGAACAGTGTTCCTTGGGAGAGGGATTCGTCAGAGGGGAGCAAAGGGGAGATCGAGGTGGTCTGCAAGGGCAGTTGAATTCTCAGCAGATGTCAGACTCTAGAAGCAGGGTTGAAGAGTGGGTTCGAGGTTTTTCACAAGGAGGTGGCCCAATGAACGAGGGAAATTGAAAAATAACGCTGAATCCGAGGACAGTTCAAATGTTGACCTTTGTAACGAGGGGACAGTACTAGGTGAAGGTTGCAGCAAGCAGACTGTGTCAGGGACTTTTTCTGATGGGAGGAAAAAGGTGGTCAGCTTACAAGGAGACACCTCGGGGAAGATAAAGTGGTCCAAGAGGATGGGCTTATTTCCAACATGGGTAGGAGGAAGTATTTGGGCCTGAGCATTTTAGTCCATCAGCAAATAAGAATGGGAATAAGAATGAGGCTTCAATTTCAGATACACAGGTTGGATATGGTATGCAGAATGGGTCTGTCTCTATCACAGAGAAGACCTTTTGGGGGAGTGTATCGGGTAATAATGTCGCGAGAGGATATCATAATAATTTTATGCTAGGGAGGGCTGCCAAAAGTTGTGATGGTATGGATGATGTTATTGGAGCAGGAGAAAAGAATCAGAGGAGACAAAAGAAATGGAGTGTTGGAAAGTATCCAATTTATTGGGGGTAAAGTTTAAAGGAGGAGAAAGGAATTCCTGACCAAGTTGTTCCTTTGGTGAAGGATAGAGATGTTTGAGGGGTGGGTAGTTGGTTCAGGGGTTATGGTCATAAAATGCATTTGATGGTAGAATGGTCCATTATGTGTTGGAATGTTAGGGGTCTGGGTAGGAAGGTAAAGCACGTGCTATTAGGAGATTTGTAGAGGAGAAAAAACCAACTATCTTATTTTTGCAAGAATCCAAATTGGAAACTGTTAGCACTATGTTAGGTAGGAAAGGGAGGTAAAATCCTTAATGGTTTTGGCAGTTGTGCCTGCTGTTGGTTCGGCTGGTGGTCTAATAACAATGTGGAATCAAGGTATTTGTGGTGAAGGAAAGGTCATCTGAACTAGATTTGTGGCGTTAAAGGGTTTGGTTGGATGGTATGCCAAACTATTGTTGTTCATAAATGTCTATGGTCCAAGTGTGGAGGCTGATAAAGAGCCATTTTTCAGGGATTTATTTTCCTTTCTGGAACAGGTGGACTGTCCAGTGTTTAGGTGGGGATTTCATGCCTTTTTGACGCAGGAAGAGAAAAGGGGTGGTGATGTGAATTTGATGTCGATGAATTTTTTCGAGTTTTGTCTCTAAGGCAAATCTAATTGATTTGCCTTTATTGGAGGTCAGTTCACGTGGTGTAATATAGGGAAGTTCCCACTTTTGAGAGATTGGATCAGTTTTTAGTTGATCATAGTTTTTTCTCGCGCAATTCCCAAAGATCAACCAAAATCTGCAGCCTAGGTCCATTTCTGATCATAATATTATTCTGCTGGAAATAGGGAGTGCAATTGGGGGCCGAAACCGTTTAGACTGTTTAATTATATGTTGGAGGAGGAAGGGTTTAGTGAACTGTTGACAAAAGAACTGTTCAATCTGGGTACACAGGAAAACTCGATACCCATTTCCAAAATTCTTAACCGGGTGAAGGATGTCGCAAAAATTGGGCTGGTAAGGGTTTTCTTCAATTACCAGGCCGAATCAGAACCTTGGAGTCTGTGATACAGGATATGGAAATGAAATTGCAACAAGGGTCTTCTTTGGTCAATGAATTCTATTGTTGAAGCAAAGAGAGAATTATGGGAGTTACAAAAGAAGGAAGAATCAATTTGGATGCAAAAGTCTAGATTGAAATGGAGATTGGAGGGGATAAGAACACAAGGTTTTTCCATCATAGTGCAGCAATTAGAGGGAGGATAAACTACATAAAAGCTATCAAAGTTGATGGTGAAGTTATTGAAGACCCTAGGTCAGTTAAAGCTTCCGTGTGGAGTTTTCAAGAAGTTGTATAATCAAACAAACACCTTGGAGGCAGAGGAATTAAATCTGGATTTTCTCAAGCTGTCCGAAGGTCAGTTTAGCTTTGGAGAAGCCTTTTTCTGAAGAGGAAGTTTGGGAAGCTATTGCTCATTCGGATATCAACAAAGCTCCGGGTCCGGATGGTCTGAACTTAGGGTTTTTTAAGAAGTTCTGGGCTAAATTGAAGGATGATATGATGAGGTTTTTTAGGATTTCTATGTGGGGAAGGTATGGGAGCCGGAGGTGAACTTTTCCTTCATTTCTCTTATTCCAAAGAAGGCAAATCCGGAGGGGTTGGAAGAGTTTAGGCCAATTAGCCTAGTGGGAGGTCTTTATAAAGTCATCTCTAAGGTCTTAGCTAGAAGATTGAGTTTGTATCTCAATGATATTATAAGTCAGTCCCAATTTGCTTTTATTCCGGGGAGAAACATCTTGGATGCTCTTTTATTGCAAATGAGTATTGATTTTGGAGGAAGAGAGGGCTGAAGGGAGTAGTTTTCAAGGTGGATTTTATGAGAGCTTATGATTCGGTAGATTGGAAGATTTTGATTCAAATTATGAGCAAAATGGGGTTTGGTGAAAAGTGGAGGTCGTGGATGTTCCAGTGCATGTCAACTGCTGAGATTTCGGTTTTGTTAAATGGGTCTCCAACAGAGAAATTTCATATTTCCAGAGGTCTGAGACAGGGTTGTTCGCTTTCACCTATGCTTTTCAACTTGGCTACTGAGTTGCTGCATTTACTGTTAACTAAAACAGTGGATATGGGATTGTTTTCGGGGTTTGATTTAGGACTGCAGGACCGAGCATTCAAGCTGTCACACCTTCAATTTGCGGATGATCTTATAATTTTCAATAAAGGTTCCATTCGTGAGTTGAGGAATATTAGAAGAGTGTTACTGATTTATGAACTTCTGGTGGGGCTGAAGTTAAATCTAGGTAAAAGCAGGATTTTTGGAATCAATGTTGAAGAAGGGGAGCTAACTAATTGGGCTAAAGTTATTGGTTGCTCGGTTGGATATCTTCCATCTGAATGTTTAGGTCTGCCTCTGGGGTTCAAGAGGAATTCGGCTGTTATGTGGGATCCTATAGTGGCGAGATTTAATGCTAAATTGAGTGGTTGGATAGCTAATTCTCTGTCGATAGCGGAAGAGTGGTTTTGGTCAAATCGGTGCTATGCTCTCTTCCGGTCTATTTTCTGTCTATGTTCAGAATCTCAGCTGCTGTGATACTTAAACTTAACTCTATCATGGCTTCATTTCTGTGGGGGGATTCGATTGACAAGAAAAAAATCCATTGGGTCAACTGGAAGTCGGTCTCTAAACCAAAAATCTGGGGGGTCTAGGGGTCCCTAATCTAGCACTTTGAACCGAGCTTTACTAGGAAAATGGGTTTGGAAGTTTTCTTCTGATAAGAAATCTTGGTGGAAGAAAGTGATTTGTGACGCCTACAATTTGGATCCGAAGTCCATTATTTTGGAGAATTCGGTGCCAGCTCGTGCATCGTGGATTTGGAAAGGTGTGGTGAAAAACTTCTTCAACAGTGATGATTTTGGAGAGTGTCTTAAAAGGAATATGTGTTTGAAGGCGGGGAAAGGGGAAGATGTGCAGTTCTGGAATGATGTATGGTTGGGTGATGTTCCCCTGAAATTGTTGTTTCCTAGACTTTATGTTCTATCAATTAATAATCAGGTAAAGTGAAGGAGTTTAGGGTAAATAATGCTTCGGGTTGGGTGGGGACATCCAAATGAGAAGGAATTTGGCTGATTGGGAAGTAGAACAGTGGATGCAGTTGATTTCTATGTTGAATAATACCTCTCCTTTTCCTACTGAAGATGATTGTTGGATTTGGTTAGGGAATGGTAAAGGAAATTTTACAGCTAAATCTTGTATAAACGCTTTTATGAACAACGTGGTTCTGAGCAAAATCAAGTGAATTGGGATAAGAATATTTGGTCTGGTTTAGCTCCTCCAAGGGTGGAATTGTTTGTTTGGCAACTAGTGCAACATAGAGTACCGGTTAAAGAGGAGTTAGCAAAGAGGTGTTGCAGAGATTGTTGACCAACGTTGTTTTGTGTGGTAGGGAGTGGAATCAGTTTCCCATTTGTTTCTGCATTGCAGGGTTGTGTGGGGTCTGTGGTCCTCCTTGAAAATGTGGAATGTGTCATTGGTGACTCCAAAGTGTACCATGGAATTTCTAATTTTGTGGGATGATTTTATGACTAACTCTTTGATTTGGAAATTCATTCCTAGGGCAGTGATGTGGTCAGTATGGAAGTGTAGAAATGAGATTATCTTTCAGAAAGGAAAGCTGGATTTGGTCAGATTATCTTTCATTGTTAGATTTAGAGTGGCTTCCTGGTTTAGTGCTCGTTTCAAGGATGTGGGTATTCCTCTAGATTCTCTAGTAGGTGATTTGAAAATTGCTGATTCGATTGGTATATCAGGAAAGGATTGCTCTCAACCTGCTTGCTGGGTTCCTCCACCGGAGGGGTTTCTAAGTTAAATGTTGATGGAGCGATGGTTTCGGGTTGGGAAAAAGGAGGTATTGGTGGTCTGTTTCGAGATAGCAGAGGTCTATTACTTCAGTGGTTTTCTGAAGCAGTAGGGGGTGTCCTCCTATCTTGGCAGAGATGTTGGCTATCAAAAGAGGGATTTGTCTTATGGAGGAGTTGGATTTTGTCGCAAATCAGAGAGTTATCTTGGAATCAGACTCATCTAACGCTCTGAAGTGGATCCAGAATCCGGGTTTAAGCCCTCCTTTGCATCTATCCTTGGTGAAGGATATAGTTTCGCTTTTGATTGGAAAGGATATTATTTTTAGGCATATTTCAAGGGCGGCAAACTGGGAAGCTGATAAACTTGCTAAAGATGGGATAGGGTGATTTTGGTTATTGTTGTGTTTAACAGGAATTGTACCTCCCTGTTTGTTGGATGTTTTGTGTTAAGTTTTATGTTCTTCTGTTGAAAGTGTAGGAGTTTGTTCAATCTTGTAATCTGGTTCTTGTGAATAAAAGTTTTCTTGGCTCTCCTTTCCTCCTTCGTTGTTCCTTCATGTTACTCTCATAACATGGAGGGATTGAAGGAGGATTTTAATGAGGCCTCTTTCTATCAAAAAAAAAAAACTATCAAAAAAATTTGATATTGAAACCTCTACTATTCTTCTATCTATGATTCAGTCATTCTCGTACATGCATATATCTTGATTACATATTAATTATTATTGTTTTTTTATACTAGCTAGGCATGGAAGTTGTATGAGCGACTCAAAACTCATTATCTAAATGTAACTCGCAAAAATCGAAAATCTCAGTGTGATGTAAATGCATAAGCACGTTTATAACTAATAAAAATATTCATGACAGAAACCAAAATTACATGCATCCTCTTCTATCTACAATTCCAGCAATGTATGTTAGTTTAGGGGTGAAATCATACCCATTTAGGAGGGAACCCTGGATTGGATACACCTTACAAAATAGTTGCACAATGAGCAGTTCAAAATTGTGAATTGCTGAGGAAGGTAACCATGCATCTTGTTTGTTGAAACATCGTATCGATCTTCTGCCATATGTCGGATTGGATTTCGAGGAGCTTCTTTGCCTTGTCTTGTAACTTGGGGCGGCAGCGTATTGTTTCACCATGTATCTGACCAAATATGATAAGAAATTCCATCAATGAAAAGCCAACATAAGCCCTCTTGCAAATAGCATAAGAAAAACCGGAATACAAGAGAAGATGCATCACCCAATTATCAATCAAACTAGCATTAGATATATTAATCTAGGAAACTTAGGTTAAGCACTTTGAGATTTTCAGAGGCTTGTAATTTTTTATGGGTTCGAGTTTGGGTCATTTCGGTTTTGGATTATTCAAAGTTAAGGTCATTCTAGATACAAATCATTTGTTATTTGGGTCATCTTCGAGTTATGTTAGGCAAGTTCGGGTCTAGGGTTTAGGTCAGAATTGTAAAAAAAAATTATCAATCAAATGACATTCTTTTAGAGTAAGAAAACAATACCTTCAGAAATAACCTGATAACAGCTTGTATGAACTCAAAATTGTTCCTGTAGGAGATCTCATAAACAAAATAATCCAATAACAGTTCGATTGAAATCATCTCAGGTTTCGCATCAAGCTCTTCAAGGTTCTCATCGTCAATGATCTGAAGCATCCGAAGCTCCATGTCCAAAGCCGAAGGAGACAAGCCTTTAATATAATCAGTAAATGCTGAAACTGCAACATGTTAAGGTACACAAATATTAGCTGCAAAGACATTTGCCAAGGATATTCAATAAATTTCACAACGGAACTTACAATTTTTCATCTCCGCAGAGGACTGGAGACGCTGCAAAAATGCGGATGGTGGTATGTCAAGCTTCCTATCATTCTTTTCCACTTCATTGCCTTTTGCATCATTATGCACATTAGCTTCACCAGGTGTAAATAATATCTCTCCAGAAAGATGGAGCTGAAGGCAGGAAGAAAGGAGCCTTCTCGGGTTTCTTGGGAGGCTCGATTGGTTTGTTGCGAACCTGAAATTATAATGCAATTATGGAATCAATCTCTGCAGAAGCCCTATCTAAACTATACATAAAGCCAAAATAGAATTAATATATTTATTTCCGATACCTAACTACATGAAATAAAGAAAGAGTAAAGAGACCTTTATAATGTCTAAATTGATCAAGCTTTGCCATTGGCTTTTCGGCAACAGTGAGAGAGTAACTAGTTCCGGTATCTGCTTTATCAATGTTGCAGACAGAAGCATCTTTCAAAACTGAGTTGTCTGTAACGGGTTCATCAGAATCCTCAGGTTGAGATCCATCCTTAGATGAGATGGATGGCAAGCTGACATTTACAACTTCCTTTCCGCTTGCAAAAGAATCTACATTTGAAGCTCCAGAGAAGATTGACCGGTTAACCCTGATTAAGATTGCCATCAAATTAGTTTTTCTTACTAAGAATTAAAATAAAAGTATAGTTACAAGTAAAATCTGCATATTATACACTGAATGACTAAAATATTTAATATTTATTGTCAAGTGTTACAGTTTAGAAAATAATCATAGAAGAAAATTCAATAAATTAAGGAACATTCATCTTCAAGTTTTTCAGCTATTTAGAGTGAACAGAATATCACAAAGATAACCGACCGAATAGCCATACTTCTTTGGTCCTTAAGGTAAAGATGAGACAACTGAAAACTTACCACAGATAAACCCCATTCTGATCAACATGGGTAGTTGCTAAAATATCCATATTTGGTGACAAGGACAATGCTGAGATAGCTACATCAACATGTATAGCATCAATTTGTCTCGCTAAGATAACATCCCAAATTCTCAGACTCCCATCCATGCTGGATGATAGAAGCCATTTGCCATCCTCACTGAAACATACATCAGTAATACGGTCTGTATGGCCTTCAAATTTACGAACCATTCTTAATGCCACAACATCATAAAAACGTATAGCCCAAATCATTACTGTGGCCAAAAGACCTAAAAATAAAGTAAAAGAAAAAGAAATTGCTAAATATATGTATGAAGAAAGGAAGAAAAGCAAGACACAGATACCATAGAGAAGCATGAATACATGCTCAATGACAGGCTGACACACACAGAAAGCCAAGGTTCAAGGCTGATAAAACAAATACCAAAAGAAGCACTCACCATTAAGACGGTTGAAAACAATCTTAACCACAGTACATCCAATTTCCCATCTAGATTTTAGGTCACGTCCCTTGAAATCCCATACCTGCACAAAGAATCAATTAATCAAATTACACCCAGCAAAAAATCAATAAAATTTTTCACTGTCCTGCCTGCTTAGAAGTATGTATTATAGATCAAGTTTCCATTACCCTTCTCACTGTTGGCTGGAAAAGATTTTGAAGTAAAACAAAAATCAATGTGGAACGGTTTAACAAAGTGAGAGAAAATAATGCTCAATTTACGACTATACCCAACAAAGGAATATCAAAAGCTATAATCACAAATTACTCTTAGAAGTCTGTTAAGATTTAAGAATAGGAAAATAGAACAAGTATCAGGGAAAGAATATACCTTAATGTCTCCATGATACCCTGCACTTATCATCAAGGTATTTGTAGAATCACATGCAACTCCAACGACTTCTCCATCATGAGCCCTTTCTTTTGACCTGTCCAGATAACTACCTCGACTTATTCCAGATTGGAGGTTGAATCTCTCAATCCAACCACCTGCTGTCCCTAGAACAGCAAAATTACCACAGGCACTGATCGCACATGCCTGTTACCAGAGAGAAAATCATCAGTAACAATTCATATAGTTCCAGAAATACTAGTTCATAGCAGGGTTTTCTCATCTTTGAATAGTTTTAATATCAGTAGTATTTGCTGTGTAATGTTTTAAATGATGAGGAATGCTTAAAAAATAGGCTATACTCTATAGATACACGTACAGAAAGAATAGTGAATGTATTCGCTACATTTTGTGCAGGAAAATAGAAATATTAATACATAAAACTTGTGGGAAATAAATAAATACTAATGGTAGGAATTAGATTGAGCATAACCTTCAAAGGTGTGGGATTTTCAGGACATGGTCTCAGGATATGCTCACCAATCACAAAATTTTGAAGTCTCCACACAATGCCTGTTCAGTATCCATATGGCATGTAACCACATTGCACCAATCTCTTTCCCTGATTTCAGCTTTTTTTTTAATGAGAGGCAGACAGCAAAAAGGTTAGATCACTTTGACATAACAAAAGCATATTATTACTCAGAATGAGACTTTTGCAAAATTTCATTTGTATTTAAATGATACAAAGCATATAGCAGAAGATCGTACCACAATCAAATGCAATAACAGGCTTTAGTTTTAGTTCCTCCTCCTGAAATTGAAAATATGAAACTAAGGAGAAAGAATTGAGGAACACCCATGCTAACTTAGTCAGAAAAATCCTGAACATTTCACTCCAGCCATACCTTCATTCTTAGTTTTCTTGGCTCGCTTAGATATGTGACCTTGAGACAGCTCTCTGCTTTGCTGATCCTGATCACAAAAGTGTTGACAAAATTTTAACAAACTAGAAAATTATATTTATTGTAAATAAGAGTGTACCCAGGAACCAAAGCTCTTTCCAAATTGCAGATTAGATAAATACAGGATTTTATCAGGTCGTAGAATTAGAGAAAAATGTTTATATCACATTCAAGCCCATGTTTAGTTCAGACAATTTCATCAATTGGAAAGAACCAATATGCTAAGTAAAGATTTGGTTTGGAGTCAAGGGAAGTAGTAAATCCTACACACAAAAGATTACATGGATGGAGACCTTTAATAAAACAATGGGTCAGTTCAAGAAGTATTCCGGTGTTTGAAAATGAGCCTCCATTAATAAAATTTTAAAAGAAATGGATGAAAATATAATAATAAACTAATATTAATAATAGAATCTTTCAAGGAAGCATAGATCAGTTACTTTCAAACATAAATGACTGGTATAAGAGATAGAAGAAAAACCAGCAGATCGCATTAGTAAGGTAGTGTAATTCTGCTACCACCAAAGCAATGCAAAGAACTGAACATTGTACTAAACAAGCGTGGAACAATATGACGAGATCGAGAGGTATGTGTTATCTACTTAAATACATCATAGCCACCAAAGAACAGTATAACACTCAGGAACTGCGAATTTTTTTATATAAAAGATCTCACTGGGATGAATATAAGTTTGAGCAATGGTCAAACAGAAACTTCATACATATCGAAATTCATGAAGCAAAACAAAATTCCTCATTATAGATGTCAAACCTGGATGGTAGAGAAAAGGCGAAAAGCACGATCTTGACCAGCTGACAGAATATGTCTTCCATTGGCATAGAACCTGCCAA